ATCCAGAGCTGCTTCCTGCTGGTTCCTGGTTGACTCTTGACCATCCTGACCAGTCGTCTCTCAGCAGCAGCTGCTAGTTTGTGTTTCCTTCCTGATGGTGGCAGTAACACAACTGGACCATGAACTTAATGCTGACACACTGATGGTTCTGGATCTGAAGCTGCTCTGAAACGGCTCCAGGTGGCTTTCTGACTGGTTCCAGTCACTGATGTTCTTCTCCAGATCTTTGCTGAACTCCTCAGACTTTAGTAGTGTTTGAGTCTCATGAGTGGATCAGATGGTTCTGTTTGAACTGGATCAGAGGAGTCAGCAGCTGGAGTCGATCAGAACCAGTCAAGAGAAGTTAAGAGGCCACGAAACTAAGAACATTTGATCAACACAAGTTTCTAGTCACCAGCTGATGATTCAAGGTGCTGTTTGTATATTTCTGATCCATCAGATTTCCAGAAAACCTTTAATGAATCCATGAAAGAACCAAAATAGATTTGTGTGTTTCATGATGAACGTGGTCTTTACAGGTGGATGGAAACTTTTGGTTGCAGCTGTAAGTAGAGAAGCCCGACTAACTGATCCGTGTGGTTCCCCTCAGGCCCGGCCAACACTGACCCTCACTACGAGAGAGTCTTCCTGCTGGACCCTCAGTACCAGAACCCGGCGGTGCTGAGAAACAAGCTGCCGGAGCTGTCGCAGAGCGCCGAGGCCTCCGGTAAACTCACTTTATCTTTCAAAGGCACAGATCTGAGACGTAAAACTAAACCTCAGTTTCCTTTCTCTCGTCTTATCGGCCGTCTGTGGAGGTTTATTGATAACCGAGGAGACGAACTGCAGGTGGACGTTATTCTGGATCACTGGCGCCTCCGTAAAGCTTCATCCACGCCGACATGTTCGGTCGGTTGTTCTGTGAAGCTTTGAGGCCTCCAGTGAAGTCTGCAGTCTGCCCCCTGCTGGCCGATAAAACCTTCCCTCCTCCGACTCTCTTTAACATCCTGAACTTCTCTGTGTTCTCTGATGATGCTGAAGCTGCATGCTGACTCTTCTCCTGACCTTCCAGCTCTCTCCTCCTCCTCCTCCTCCTCCTCCTCCATGTTTCCTCCTGCAGCTCTGCTCCTCGGTAATCCTCTCTATGACCTCCTGCTGCTGACTTCCTGTCACATGACGCCAGGCTGGCTGCGTGGTAAGAACTGAAAGGTGTGAAATCAGACGTTTGAACATCTGCAGGAGGTGGCGGTGGACTGGATGTCCAGGAGAACGAATCGATCATTTAGGATCCAAATATAGACGTTTCTGGCATATATGTTCCTCTTTTCCTCGAGTCAAATTTATTTATAAAACACATTTAAAACCACAGGAGTTGAGCCAAAGTGCTGTACAACTATAAATGTCAACCTATAAAACATGAACACAATGACTATCGGCATAAAAACTCAAAATTAAAAATATAAAACATAATAAAAGATGCAGTCAGAGAGTGAAGCTCTAGTTTGATGAAACGCTAAAAATAAGTTTTCAGCAATGACTTAAAAGTTGCTAAAGTCTTTGCAGTTTTAACACCATCTTTAAAAAAATATGCAAAAAAAAAAAAAAGTTCATTTAATGAGTTTTTTCATTGCAGTTTAAGCTGCACCTTTTTTTTTAAAAGAAGCAAACATCAGGGGAAAGTCCAACATGTTGTTTACATTTGTGTTGCAGAAGTTTTTTCATCTTTTCTTTCCTGCGAATCGTCTCTCGACCTCTTAGATTTATTTAGTGACCCACCGTAAGGGACACGACCCTTAGATTGGGAACCACTGGACTGAATTTAAACAGTACCTGAAGACAAAGCAGCTAAAACAAGCAAAACCTCATCAGCTACAGCAGNTTTTTTTTTTTTTTTTTTTTTACATTATTCCATAAATTTACAGTGTTTTTAAAATTCTGCTAAAAAAATCTTTCTTTTACAAATATTTGATGTTATCTTCACATTTTTACAGCTTTTGGACGTTGTTATGAGGATTTTTCTACGGATTTCTTCTGATAATAAATGAACAATAATCACCTTCATAACTTTTCTACAGTCTAAGATTTTAAGAAATAATCGTCTTTTCTTTCACAAATTTGCAAACCTCCTGGACAGCTGTCATCTATCTTTTCAACTAAACTAATTTATATTTCCGACCTTCTCTTGACGTCAGCGAACCCGTCGGCCAGCGACCCCACCGAGGTGGTGAAAACGCCCGTCCTGATTGGCTGCCTGGTGACCATCATCCTGCTGCTGGTCATCATCATCTTCCTCATCCTGTGGTGTCAGTACGTCTGCAAGGTGCTGGAGAAGGTAAAGGGACGCAAACCTAATGGCGCGCTTTTATTTTGAAAATATCCAACTCCAGTCAACGATCGCCCTCAATCGACTGTAAGAAGGTCAACACGTGGTGGGTTTTATAGATTGTACAGCATAAAAATATTGATATTTGAGATATTTTAGCTTCATAACAGGATGAAATAGTTTTAAATCTCTCTTGAGACTCTCAGGAACGATTAAAGATAAAAACCTTTTATTTCTCATCATTTCATTGATTCAGAATCTGTAATATTTGGACGAGTAGATCAAATAATTGGTGATTATCGGTGAGCTGAAATGTGGAAAGTCTCATGTTTGAGCTCATCTCAACTAAAAGACGTTTGATAATGATTAAAACTGTGTCAGACGTTTATATTCAAGGCTTTAAATCAGAGCTGCTGTCAGTGAAGAACTCCTGAAGTCGGTGTTTCGTGGAGCTGATCGATCTCATCCTGGGTTTTCCAAAAGCAGACGAAAGGTTTTAGGAAGCAGGATCAGAGCTTCCTTCCTGTGTGAAGCATCAAACAGAGATCATTAACGTGTCGTCTGGTTCTTCCACCTGAAGGCTCCACGTCGGATCCTGGACGAGGAGATGACGGTCCGACTGTCGTCCTGCAGCGACACCATCATCCTGCAGACGCCTCCGGTACCGCCTCGGTCCGGACACCCGCCTACAGGTACACTCAGAGTTTAGCCCAGTTAGAAGTCGAGGACGGACAAACCTACGCTGTGGTCGCTGAAGCTGATGAATATGATTCATACAGTGACTCCTAGAACTCTGAATCTTCTCTGATGGAACCATTGAACCATGAATCTCTCGTGTTTTGCTTCTTTCATAGATTCAGTAAAGGTTTTCTGGAAATATGACAAAATCTTCTGGATCATAAATATACAAACAGAACTCTTAAGATCTGGTTAAATGTCCTTTAATGTCCATGTCCTCCTCAGTCGGGTTCTTCTGGTTCTTCTGGTTCCGTCCACCAGCTTCTGGTCCATCTCTGACTCCTCTGGACAGAATCGCTGCAGTTCAACTAAACTTGTCGTCTTTCTGACTCAGACTTGTTCCTTCATCAGTCCACAGGTTCTGGATGGTTCCAGTCAGGACTTTGGGGAGACCAGTCTAGAACCTTCATTCCAGCCTGATGGAACCATTTCTTCACCACTTTGATG